TCATACACTACGACTTTTAAACACTTGTAAGAATCAAATAGTGACTGGAACGTTACAGGAAGGCAACCTTTATAAAAGATCAGACACACAGCCGAATTTAAAATATACATATGAATGTTAGGCAAATGAGATGGAGTAACTTTGAGTTAATGAACAGGTAGCTATGTAGGGTATTGGTTAAAAAGCCTCTAGTGAATTATTTTTATAGATTGCAAGAAAATATGAATATGGATACAATTTATGATTTGTATCAATATCTTAACAAAGACGACCAAAAGCTTAGAATATGGGGATTCAAAGAAAATATGTATGCTTAAAACGTAGGATAAAACGGACAAAGAATACAAATGCAAAGTCATATTTAGATGATATTGGAAATGTGTAATAGTTTTATCAGGTTAAATAAAAGTACAGTTTAGTCAAAAAATATTTATATGTTTTACATGAATGTTGCATGTGTCACAATTAAAAGTGTTAAACACTTGTATTTGTAATGGTTATAACAATGGAGTGTAATGTTCTGTTAAAACTTGCAGCGTTCATGAATACTTTTCCGTCAAGGATTCTGTGGTGTCCAAAAAATGCAATGCTTATTAAGAAAATGTCACAAAATCGAATTAAAAAACAACCTTTTCACGAAATCTGGCCTCAAAACAGTGCTTATGTAAAGGAAATTCAGGAGGGTAGAATTATGAATTGAATTTCAGAAAAAAATATTTAAAGACTATGAATACCTAATTTTTCACATAAGGAATTATGGTGCACATTATGTGTGACCTCGATAGTTATCGAATTACCAGTACCGTCTATGAACAGGCTCAATCAAACTAAGCCTGCAATATTTCTAATTTTGCCGTTTTAGGGGCGTTCGTTAGGATATATTTATGCAATTTTAACCCCTTTTCAAATTATAAAATTATATGAGCCGTGTCGATCACGACAAAACCAACATAATGGGTTTGCGACCAGCATGGATCTAGACCAGCCTGCGCATCCGCGCAGTCTGATCAGGATCCATGCTGTTCGCTATCAGTTTCTGTACTTGTTATAGAGTTTGTAAGCGAACAGCATGTATCCCAATCAGACTGCGCGGATGCGCATGTTGGTCTGGATCCATTGCTGGTCGCAAACCCATTATGTTGGTTTTGTCGTGACGCGGCTCATATATCAATATGTCCGTCATATTATATTCATGACACTAGTAGCAAAGATACTGATATAATATGAAGACTTCTTCATGCCAAAATAATTTATATGAAGTTTGCCTTATTCTTTATTCAGTATTTAATTTATATTTAATTTAAACATTTGCCATGCTGTAAACGCTTGATGACTTAATTACCACAACCCATCGATTTAAAAGAAAGTTTCTTGAGATCTTTGTGCTGAAAACATTCGATTTTATATATACAGAACTTGTGTCAAAGACGCTGCAAAAATGTTCGAACTTTAGAAATACCATTCTCATAATATGATTTTTCTGATAAGACTATCTTGATATATTGTTTCTACGATGTCATTCTCAGGGTGTATTATCCCTTTGTATATACGGAATTAATATTGTTTTTGTCGGTACAATTATTATTTCTTCAGTTTTATGTAGCCAGTAGTTCTATAGTTATATTCATTAAAGCCTGGTTATTTAAGAAAATTGTTAACGAAGTAATAGTTAGGAACAAATTTCGTAAAAAACAGATGTTTAGACAACATAAGTATATTTGTATATACCTCAAAATTAGTTTTACATGTTAAGTTATGCATTAAAAGTCGTGTGATAGAAAACATATGCATAATTCCAAAATGGTTAAAGTGAGTAACCAAATTTTAATAGTAATTGCGAAAAACCAATTATGTAGAATACCTTTTTCTTGCAAGTAATATCTGTGAGCCTTCTTTGATCAAAGTTTGGATTTTTACGTATTTTTAAAATATATACAAATGTATAGTTTTATAGTTTTGGTGCTGACGGACGCGCAGTAATGTTTGCTTGAACATGGACACATACACGCACGCACGCACACACATACAACAACAACAATAACATCAACAACAAGATTTCCCTACGAAAGGCGATACCATTAATATTATCAGAACAGAACATTAATATTATCCTTGACCGACTATTACCAAAACAATAGGTCACGTGATTATACGTCGATTTTTCTCATCTAGCGAATAAACTAAATAAGTAAACCCTTATAAATTATATAAATCCTAATCAATTGAAAACAAATTATTTAAATAGTATTTATCATATATACTTTCATGCATTTTCGTATTATTTGTATCAAAATGTTAAATCACTAAGATAAAGAAATTTTACCATCAAAATAATGACTAGATCCACAAAAAATCAAGCTTATTCACAGTCATATAAAAAGTAAGATGGAGAAAACTTTAAGGTTATTTTAAGAAATTATGACATTAAAAATAGAAAATGTAATTATGAGATATCCATACTCTTTTATCTGTATTTTTTCACTGATTTGTTTTGGATAACACAATTTCTATTATTTATTGTGACTTATGTGCTAAATAAATACTCTACCGTTACCGATTGTGGACCATTCGACCGATGCGCAGGAGTGTAGGCAAAACGTTAGTGTAAAGTCAATATTTTATTTTCTTTGAAGTCATTTTCAATCGTTATATTTCAGAGGTACATATGCTTGGTATTTTTCATTTTTGATCTGTAAAAGGAGACAATATCTTCTTGACAAATCAAAATGCATTAGAAGTGTAAGTAATTATAGATTACCTTAGAGTTGATCTTAATTATCATTTGACCTAATATTTCAGTGTTTCGTGGTTTTCCAAGAGCACTGGTGATTGAACACTGCTAACCCTTGTACACTTTTAGATGCACTTGAAAATTGATATTGTACTTGAAATTAAAATAAACTAACCCTAAAGCAATCGTGCTTAACTCTTATTAAATGTAAAACCTCAATCAAACAGCGGTTAATGATTATTGTCAAGTGTTAAATGGTATAATGTTTGACCATTTTTTCATTCCAAAGTCGAAACAATATCGCATTTGTTAATCAATTTTAACAGATTCCAGCAGAATAAAGAGCATTGTAAATGCTATATTGAAATACGAATGATATAGAACAATGTTGTAGAATGGTACCAAAGGAATAGTTTCCATGCACTCACTTCAGTCATATTGAGGCATAAATAACATTGTTTATTCACACTCATTAACTGATCTCATTTCTTTCTTGCTACTGCGCCACATTGATGAAATGAACAATAAAAATCCCAAGAATACTGTTTCTAGTCTAAAAAAGGCATTCGCAGTTAATTTTATGGCATTCAAATTAAAAATAACAATTGATATTTGAGTGTTACATTTCAGGCTTCCATTTACTTATTCATACAATGCAAACTTTTTACACTACACCTACATGGTATAAAGTTACATGACACATAGTTACCGAACTGACAATACGAATGATTCCATGTGGAGTACTTAACTTTATGGTAAATATTTTTCCTTTGTATATTTCTGTGCACGTATGTTAGTGCAGAATTTCGTCATCAGTGTACTTCTAGACTCTTCAAGTATATGGTGTCAAGAGAGGGAGGGGGTTGTTGGTAAGGTGACATAGCAACTCTTGTTTATATAAAGCTACACTTTCAGAAGAAAAAAAATGTTGCTAATGTTATGACCCTTTCGATGACATTGGCTAACCTTTTCCTTCAGTTTCATTTTCTCAAAAGTTATCAAACCCATTAACTTTAAACGTTAAAAGTGATGCCATCTTTTGCAAAGATATTGCACTGGTTTACCTTTTTCTAAAATTTTATAAAAAAATTAACTGTCATAGATATTTGCTATTAAATCGAAATTTTAGCGCATTTCTAAATGGACGTTAACACTGTCAATTTAGTTTTGCTTAATTTTCTTCCTATTTGACAATTATTTTCCAAAGCATTACAGTTATTAGCTTTAATTTCAAAAATTAGGTTGGTAAGTCTTTAAAGATGTTTTGTACTTTTTTTGCCTAGCTTTTATTTTTATAGACAATAGTGTGATGTCAAAGGACATGTCTTGTTATGTACATAATGCATGAATAATGAATAAGTAAGAATATTATGAAAAGGAAAAAAAATAAGACATTTTCAATATTTTCCATAAAGATAATTTACATGTCTCTTGCCAACACTTTGACATGTTTGTAAAAAACCGACATGTTTTGCGGGAATAGAAGAAGAGAGTAAATCCCCATGCAAAGCAAAGAACCCTTCTGTATGGTATATACGATGATACATGAATTTTCTAGTTGCAACTATGTGTACAAACTTAAAGCAATGAGAAAATCTTCAAGGTGAAGCACCAGTTAATTTATAATATTTTGCAATGCATAGGGAGTTGCTAAAGCAGAGACAGTGCTTCCGTAACACTTATATATGCAGGTATTTCTGACAGAGAGACGAAATATTTTTGGGTCTCGAATCACAGTAGATTTTTGGCTTCAACGGAATGACATGCAACTTGTTTAACTGCCTGACGAACATACACGGGCTAATTTTCATAATAGATTTGTAAAAGCATGACATCTTTTTTCTAAACAACATGTGTTTTCTCTTTCCATGTGGAATTATCAGACGTATTGCTTGTAACACATAGGCGACAGGAACTTGAAATTCAGTGTAATTAACAAAATAAATGCCAAAGTACGGAAATATATCACTATTATTTCACCTTTACAAATATTTGCCATCATCGACTAAGTATATAAAACTGTGGATCGTCGAATCGTAGTGAATAAACATGTATACAGATAAAGATATACATGTATTTTATATTTTAATGTTATATTTTATTAACATCGTCTCCATTGAACAACTAGTGAATGAAACCGTTCTCTTTGACTGTAGCAATGTTCGTATTTGACCTGGAAAAGTTAAATTGGTCTAATAAATAAGTAATTGCAGAAATTATCGGGGGAAAATTGATGTTCTAATAAGCAGTGTCGACTGAGGGAATCGGTATCAATTTTATCGACATGCGGGTAGACGGGATACAGTGGATCATCTTTTCATAATTATTATAAAAGATTGTTCGCGAATCTAGAAAAAAATCGTCACTTTTGGTATAAGTTTTACCATGAATCTACGAAATGAAATGTTGAACGTTTTGCTGCTTTCTATTTTTGCAAATGTTTATTGTTTTAAATTTAAGAAGAATAGCTTAAATATCAAATATGGAATAACTAATTTCAAATCTTGTGCAGTTATTCCGACAAGTTTTAACATTCTGAAGGTAACTAATTTATCTTTAAATGACTGCGTGTCCAGTTGTGTATTTCGGTCGGCATGCACAGGACTTAATTACAGAAAGAGGTTTTTATTATGCGAGTTATATAATGGAGAACTTACGCAGGAATATTTTGCCGACTGTGTAAATATAAAGCGAAGTGACATCGAAGCTGTAAGTTTTAAGCAAAATAAAATATCATTGAATAAATAAATAACTAAATGATAAAAGATGAGTTTTTTTTTAAAAAAAGTTTTGATACAAAATAAAAAAAATAAAATGATATGAAAGTAAACATTTAACGTTGGAAATATCTACTTTTCGTGTTCGTAGCTATTATGAAAATTGGTGTAGACAATTGGTACAGACATTTTTGTTTGCCTTTGGGATAATTGATATTATATTTTTCTGTTTAAAAATACTTTTTTCTGTAAAGAATTTTTACGTCATCTTCGATAAGTTTATTTGCAAACTTTCGGAAGAAACAATAAAGTTGGCATTTAATACACAAGTAATTTTCTATTTTGATTACTTTAAGATTTCAAAAGTCAGTAAAGATTTTTGAGTTTTTCTTTTCGTATTTTACTTTCCGTATTTTACTTTCCGTATTTTACTCTTGGTACGTTAGACGGATGAGAGTCAGATCATTGCCGACGCCGACATTCAAATTTGTGAGGATGATTTCACATGTTCAGCTCAAGGTAAATAGTTATGTACATATTTGTTTTTATGGCTAGTTCAAGGGAAGACAAATATTTTATTAACTTACAATAATCCATTAAAAAGATAACAAAAAAAAGCAATAATCGATGTGGCTGTCCTAATTATGGTGTGATGTGTTTGATATAAAGTGCAAATAAAAAGTTTAAAAGGAATACTTTATGACAACAAAGCAGTATGTACTGTCTGTCTTTCTAGAAATCTATTATTTGTAAAATTTGTTTAATTATCCCGCCGATGGAATCGGGAGGGGGATATAGTTTTAGCGTTGTCCGTTCGGCCTTCCGTCCGTCCATCCTTCCATCCGTCTGTTCATCCGTCCGTCCGAATTTCGTTTCCGGACTAGTTATCTGCAACTACTGGCTGAAATTCAACGAAACTTTATGGGAATCATCTATATCAAGAGGAGATGCGCATATCGTCGGCTTGTTCCGGTCCGAAACTTTAACTCAGAGTTGTGGCCCTTGATTAGTTATGCAGTATGCGTATAGAGTAAAAATCGTTTCCGCGCTACTTCTCTGCAACTACTGGCTGGAATTCAACGAAACTTTATGGGAACCTTCAATATCAAGAGAAGATGCGCATATCGTCGGCTTGTTCCGGTCCGACACTTTAAATCAGAGTTATGACCCTTGATTTGTTATGCATTATGCATAGGGAGCAAAAATCATTTTCGCGCTACTTCTCTGCAACTACAGGCTGGAATTCAACAAAACTGAATGGGAACCTTCAATACCAAGAGAAGATGCGCATATCGTCACCTTGTTGGGGTCAAACACTTTAACTCAGAGTTATGGCTCTTGATTAGTTATGCAGTATGCATATAGAGCAAAAATCGTTTCCGCACTACTTCTCTGCAACTACTGTTTGGAATTCAACAAAACTTTATGGGAACCTTCAATACCAAGAGAAAATGCGCATATCATTGCCTTGTTGGGGTCAGACATTTTAACTCAGAGTTATGGCCCTTGATTAGTTATGCAGTATGCATATAGAAAAATATTCGTTTCTGCGCTACTTCTCTGCAGCTACGGGCTGGAATTCAATGAAACTTTATTGGAACCTTCAATATCATCGCCTTGTTCGGGTCAGACATTTTAAATTAGAGTTATGGCCCTTGAAAACTTATGCAGTATACAACCAGAGCAATAATCGTTTCTGTGCTACTTTTCTGTAATTATTGGTTGGAATTCAATGAAACTTTATGGGAAACGAAGAGGGGATGTGCATATAGTCGCCTTGTTCCGGTCAGACACTAATAACTCAGATTTATGGCCCTTGATTAGTTATGCAGTATGCATACATCTAATTGGCATTTCCAGATATTACTACTTAACACAAAGGTATGGCTCTGTTATTGCCCTAAATATTTATCAAGTTCAAAGAATATTACTGTTTATGCCATGATAAATATATAAATAAAGCCTTATATCTTCAGTTGTTGTGTTAGTAATAACGAATACTCGGCGGGGGATATAAATTCAACGAAATTGCTTGTTAACATTTTATTTATGTGATATGTTTAGTTATGTATATCAATTATGCCAAACTTCTGACCTCCAAAATTCTATAAGCTGCTTTTTAACGTTTTTGTTTTACATATAATGCGGCACTGAAGTTATTAATCTGACCCGTTACGAAACCTATCCAGAATAGCATATAAGTTGATTTAACTTTATCTTTTATTTGCAAATACCCTTTACAAATTCATTCTAATGCAATAATCGATACAACAATTATTTTAATGTCGTTCTATACCATTAAAGTTTTCAAAATATTAATTCTGTCAATAAAATGCCTTTTAACTGCGAAACATCAATTACAACGACTTATAAACTTATTTAATTATATTATATACAATAATCAGTAAATCTAATTTTTTAACATCTTTAAAAAAGTAATCTATAAAATAAGATGAAGCATATGGGTACTGTTTTATTAACCGTAAGCGCAGATGTCAATTTCGTGATCACGTGGTCAAACATTTTGGCTATGGAGGGCGATCGTTGCCAAAATTCCAGACATGTAATGTGTTCCTTTTGAAAACTACTTTTGAAAATGCGAATATGTATGTCTAGCATTTTTGATTGCATTCGTGCACAGCAAATGATATGCCTCTTAATCCAATCTTTTAATTGAAGGCAACCGCTTTTAAATAACAAGTTTACATGTAAATCTTAACAACTGACCTAACACACATTTACAAGTTCGTATCTACCATTGCATATAATACATAAGCATGTTTACACACTTGTAGATATATATATGTACCTGAAAAACACAAATGAAATGTAAAACTCGAATGCAGAAAATATAATTTAATAAAACGTGTTTCCAGTCGTAGAACTACAAACAGTACATTTACACAGTTACATGTTTTAAAATGACAAAAGTAGATTCACAAAGTTAAACGATTGTAAGTCATGCATGACGCCCCGCCCCTCTCTGAGTACTTACGATCTTCTATCACGGAAATGTACGGACAGGTATAATACCCGTCGCCTCTCTCCTATTTCTCAATAAAGTGAAGGAAAACACGGCGTCCATTCTAACTTTTTTTTTTTATTTCTATAAAAAGTCCAATATAATTTGTATCAAATGAAAGATTACTCCATAAGCTTTCTATGAGTGCCTCGGAAATAAAAATGAATTAAATAGATGTATTGCTTTTTTTTTAGTCTGAAAATAACACTCTCGAATTGGTAAGAAAAACACGGCGTTCCCTCCAAACTTTTTTTTATTTCGTAATATATTTTGATAATTTTGGATTGAAATAAAAGTGTGATTAATACGATTTGTGATATATAATTATATAATGCCTCAAAATAAAAAGGAATTAAATCAAAATGAATTAACTTTTCGTTAAAAAGTTTATCATGTTACTTTCTGTAAAATAGAGAAAATAAGAATCCCTAAAGAACGCTCAAAACGACAAAATTGAGAATGTTGCAGGCCGGTTTGATTGAGCCTGCTCATGGACGGTAATGGAAAGAGCAAGTTATCGTCCACGCCCCCTAGCACCGGCTTAAGCAAAATTCAACATGAACTGGAACAATTTTTGAATTTTTGAAACATCCGCAGATGTGTTAATATGGTGATTATCATGGAACCTTCAATGTGACACGTAAGTGCCATACCATGAAAAAACGGCATATGATCCCCAAAGTAAAAAAAAACAAAACACACTCTGAAAATTCAGTAAGAGAAACATGGCGCCCCCTACTCTTACTTTTTTTATTTCTTGGTCAATTTTGATAATTTTAGAATATGATAAACAAGATCATCAAGGAAAGGCGGCGTTGATAATTTTAGACTCAAGTAAAAAATTCTGGGAAACAAAGTGATCCCTCGGAAGCATTAATCACAACAAAATTACATAAGAATTGCAGACTCGGTTTGATTTGAGTCTGTACATGAGAGATAATGAATAAGTGCAACATCCCTCACGCCCCCTAGCACCGGATTGAGCGGTACTCAATTCTCAAACACTTAATAGTGCTTAAGAATCCTTAATGAACTTTCTAGTGATGCCTTAAAAATGAAAATTAATTACGTAGAAGTATTAAAAATTTTGTTTCTAACTTATCGTTGTTTTTTTTTCTCTTAAATCCACACTCATATATTCGGGAAAAAAAATAACGTCGCTTCCTTTAGATACTTTATTCAAAAAAGGAAAATAAATATTGAATGAAGTTAAGACCATAAGTTTTGAACAAATATATTAAAAATCTGGAAACAAGGTGATCCCTCGGAAGCATTAATCACAACAAAATTACATTAAGAATTGCAGATTCGGTTTGATTGAGTCTGCACATGAGGGATAATGAACAAGTGCAACATGCCTCACGCCCTCTAGCACCGGCTTGAACGGTACTCAATTCTCAACACTTAATAGCGCTGGCATCAATGATCCCGAAAGACCAGAAAAATATAACAACACTGAAGTGAAGTACGGGGCAACTTTTTACAGCTGCCTCACGGCACTTGAAACCTGCTGTTGTGAAGTATAAAAATCTGGAAACAAAGTGATCCCTCGGAAGCAATCACTACAAAATTACATAAGAATTGCAGACTCGGTTTGATTGAGTCTGTACATGAGGGATAAGGAACAAGTGCAAAACGTTTTTATTCATACTGAAAATACCTTATTAAAGATTGTACATATGTGCTACGGATAAGTATTTTCTTGATTTCGGAAAGGAAATCTCGGTGGCCGCTTTAAAATATACTTGCATAGTTTTTGTTGAAAATGAAATTTGTGCCAATACATTTTTCAATGATACCAATAAGAATATTGGGTGTTTTTTTTACATTATTAATAAAATTACTACCTTGAAGTTGGTCATTGTTTCCCCTAAAACTTTCCCAATCGCCGATGTTTCTCAGGAATATATGATAAACAAGATCAACAAGGAAAGGCGGCGCTCAATGAACGCAACCCCACACGACCCAGCAACAAGAACAAGTGGCAAGAAGCCAAGGCGGACCCAAAACAAAACACAGGACAGGGCACTAGGCAGAGCACGGACAGGCTAATCACTAAAATGATAAATAATTTGTAACTGATAAGAACACGATGTTAAAAATAAGGTAATACATAAGTTATCTTCATCATAAATGGTAAAATCAGCAATTTTTCAAGTGATGTTGCTACTGACAAAACTTTTTGTAACAAATGTAACATATATATTTTATGAAAAATGCCGTATGTTGTCCCTCAGTTTTTATTAAAAAATATGGAGAGGCGCCGTTTTATACCTGTCCGCAATAGAAGTTCGTAAATACTCCGAGAGGGGGCGGGCGTTATGCTTGACTTAAAATCGTTTAACTTTGTGAATCTACTTTTGTCATTTTAAACATGTTACTGTGTTAACGTACTCTTGTAGTTCTACAACTGGTAACACGTTTTCTTAAACTCTATTTTCCGTATTCGAGAATTACGTTTCATTTGTATATTTCAGATCTATAAGTGTGCAAACATGCATATGTATTGCATGCAATGGAAGATACGAACTTGTAAATTTGTTGTCGTTTTAGATGTTAGGTCAGTTGTTACGATATATATGTAAACTTGTTATATAAAGGCGGTAACCTTCAAATAAAAGATTGAATTAAGAGGTTTACAATAAAAATGGTAGGCATACAAGTTCGCATTTTCAAAAGTCATTTTAAAAAGGAACACTTTACATGTCTGGAATTTTGGCAACGAACGCCCTCCATATTTGGCAAGATGGCGATGTTGATGTTTTACCTACAGGGAACTTTTAGGTAGTTTATGTTTATATCTGTCGATACTTGTCTTTTATCAACAGATTATACATAGTTTTATCGGGATATACTTTATTGTACTTCATGACATGTTCAATTAATGAATAGGAGCGTGTCGGATTCCTTGCACGATAATTTGTGAACTTTCCCTACGGGTCTGTCTTGCGTTCACTTCATGTCACAGTTTATAATACTGCACGTTTGTAACGTCGCTTTTCATTGGATAATCGTGACGTTTATATAGTTTTATACTCACGTCTGTTGTCGATTCATGAAGAAATCTTATTTTTTTTCTCTAAAAATGATGTTTGCTGTATTATAAATTCGTAAAAAAGATTGTTGACAGGTTATATAGCCAAAATAAACGGCTGTTTGCAATATAACCCTCGCCTAGCGCATCGGGGTATATTTACAAACAGCCATTTATATAGGGCCATATAACCTGTCAACAATCTTTATAACTAATTATATAAACGGACGGATAAGCTGAGGACCTCCATCCTATGTCAAACATGAGCGTTGCCATCATGACAATATAATCTTAAATCATAAATCAAACGATATCAAACATGAAATTGATCAAATCATTCAAATGTTTTACGATACTTATTCCCATATGTATTAAATTTTTCAACGTTTAGAATGCCTTAAAAACACAGTAACATTGATTTGGATACTCTTTTCAGAATGTCCTTATGTGGAAGTAGTTGGCGGAAAGGTTTGGGGTAATATGAATTCATTCGGAAGTCTTCGAACATTTGAATGTAATGACGGATATAATTTGTTTGGACATAATTCAATCAAATGTATGACAAACAAAACTTGGATCCCTTATCCCGTATGCTGGAAAGGTTTGACTTCATTATTTTTGATTCTATATATAGATCTACATAAACATTTATACGTATTTTTGTTCAGACGGGCAAACATATGAATCATTTGAATTAAAATAGGGGCAAACGTCTTATGACACATTTATCGCAAACTCGTGCCTTTTTTTTCCCCGGTTTGACATGACATGATTGACGTCACATTGTATGCAATAAATAGAGGATATTGAATGAGTGTAGGTTTAATAATAAATTTATTGAACGAGTTGAATAAAATCATATTATGCGAGCCTCTGGCTGAAAAACTTTTCTTTTTTTGAGTATTATATAAATTGAGTTAATATTTAGTTTGTTTAGTTTCATTTCTACTTCGTTTACTTCTGGTCGCAATTATGATTTTGCATGAAAGTAAAATTGGTGGTTTTGAATTCGTAGAAGACAGAGGCTCACATAATCTAATTTTATTCAACAATTTCCAAAAATTCAGTTATGAACCTACTTACACTAAATATCCTCTTTTTATGTAATATAACGAATTGAGCACAATTATAAAATATTTCGCGACCAGAAAATCAAACACACAGTATTCTCTAATCAAAATGAACAAAAAAGGAAGAATGAGCATATCTATTTATGTTGTTAGTTATTCAGTAAATATTATAGTGTTTCACAAAATCAAGACTATAAGATAAAACTTTAAATTGACAGTATGCCCATGGTGAGTTTACAGGTTATATTCAAAATAACACTACATTTTCCCATATTGTGTTCAATTCTTTATTAAACAATGCAAAAATAATAAATTATCTGAGTGACCCAATTCTTAAAAAGTAGGAAAAACTATTTATAATTTAGGTGCTTTTTATATTTTGTTCCTTACATTTTTCTTTATCAAAAATTAGCCACACACCATTATACGATTATAACCAATCTATAGAAATATATTGCTGATGAGCATAATGTCACTTTAACTATTTGCATTAAAACACTTTATCTTTCATATCAATTGTCCATTGAAACATAGATTTTAATTTTGAAAGTTATTCTATTAAGAATCAAGCTCTTGGTGATATCTATAAGCTTTGTTGATATAATTTTTGCCTTTTTCTCCAGAATGTAGTGCGCCTATCTTACAAAATTGTGAGATTGAGACAGCGTCCAATGGACAGCAGCCGACAAACGCCACAGTGACATGCCATGAAGGCTATGCCTCTACTAGAACTAGTGATGTTAGTTCTGCTATAACTGAAGAAATCATAACATGTGACAAAAGTGGTGTTTGGATGCCAAGTATTGATTGCACTTTTGTAATCAGTGAGTTATTATAATCTTAGGCACAATCAAGCTCTGCAAATATTTCTTTTATGTTTATAAGTGAATGTTATTGTTATTAGAGATTATTTTAATATGCATATCTTCAGAGTAATTAATTGTATTCAAATTTAGAATGACATCGAACCATATTTTCTGACTCTCTTTTTATGATTATCTGGTACATTTTAAAATTGTTGGTACATTTTATATATAGTTATATAATGTCAATTTAAGTGTAACAAAAATGTGTACGGTAAACTTTATATCAAGTTTATCCTAAGCACTTTATTAAAATATAAAAAATACGATAAAGGTCATGTTGATTTAGATTGCTCATTAATGTAATTGGATATCTTTGATCAATTAAGCTGTTCTACTTTTAAAGGCGACGTTAACAAAGCTTGGCTGAAACCGGCTACACAGAGCTCTACCTACAGGGGCTATGGAGCTAACCGGGCAACAGATGGAATATGGATATCGGACTTTTTTACTAACCCATGTTCTCACACAAATTCGCATGTAGAACAAACCGCTTGGTGGGAAGTTGACCTGCAACAGGTTTATTCCATACGGAGAATAAAAATAAGAAATAGGAAAAGTGGTAAACAGCCCTATTTCATATTTATTTAACTTAAAGCGTTCTATGATGAACCCGAATAAATGAACATTAGATTATTAAATGTAAAATATGATATTTACACGATACTTTACGATTGTATATATGTTATATACATACAGGTTACAATGGAAGGTAGCAGCCACATTATGTTCTAAATATTAACGATTTGCACGAGGGACAAAGTGAAATCATTGTTTTAAAATACAATAGTTTGTTAAAACTGTTTCTAGTTCTAAAATCGATATAATGTATCCAAATATCTTTAAATCCAAGTATCTTTAATATAGATACATTGTGCTAAAACTCAGCTGTTAATATAATATCTATGGCACATTTATCTGTATCATAAAGTACATTAAGACATCCTCTAAGATGGTATTGCATCAAATGATATTCAGGCTTTGTTTTGAATAGAATTTTACTGATTTAAAGTTATACCTAGAGGTAATTTAAAATATAGTGCAACAAATAGAAACCTGATATTTATTTTATGTAAATGATAATTCTCGTAGTTAACTGAAGACAATGATATCAACTCATAATCAGTCTTCAGTTTTGGCATTTAAGTTTCCGTCTCAAAGCTTGATACAGTTTTACTAGTCTCCTACGTCTCTGTTCGGTACAAAAAATAATGCCTTTTTTCCTGGCGTCGCTATGCGTTGTTGATCACTTTGATGTTTGTATCAGTAATCAGACAGTTGAATAGTTTATCTTACTTGATGTTACACACATTTCATATGATCATATTCCTTTATGATTATCGATTAATTTCTGGCTTATTAATTATGGTAATTGTAAATAGTATATTTTTTGATCATTTATGCACTGAACAACTTAATTGTTGTCATATTTTCCTGGTCTTTCCGGATCATATATACTTACCATTTTATGTTTAAATTGCAAAAGGGTTTAAGCCGGTACTTAGGGCTGTAATTATATCGAGTCATCTTTGAAAAACATGAAGAAACACAAAACGATCTTGTCTATGGTTTTAAACTATTTTATTTTTATCTCCACTGCTCTCGAGAGTTTTTTTCATTTCCATCAAGAGTAACGATGATTTCTTTTATGAAAGAATACAAATAAAACTTCAAGAAATGAATATTTTTCAATTTGTTGTGAACTTAAATATATTTCAAGGAAATCAGTAAAGATTGGCTAAGTAGCACAGGATCGTGATCCCTTTTAACTTTATTTCCGAATCAAAACTTAAGTCATAATAAAACGTAAAACGCGCATTGTAAACCAGCTGTAAATGGAGATGAGTAGATAAATAATTAGGAAGAAAATGGAAAATTGTACTGACCGGTAATCTTGTCGCTTTATCAATGAGCTTTTGGTTACCTGATTGAAAGGTATTCGTATATTGCTATATCCTTCAGAAATTTTTAACATGTCGTAAGATTTTCTATATCCATAATGGAACAAATTTTTCTTATTGCATCCACAACTGCAATATTAACTTGTTTATCTATACAAACATTTCACGTGTTGATGTCTTATTTAACACGTTTTCAATTTCAGCATATTTCTCTAAAAGACTATACAACGTCACTGTGAGTGTAGGAATGAACCCAGCACCAACAGAATTTTGCGCGTTCTATCTCGGCGATAATCCGCCGATTGAGCGGATCGAACTTAATTGCAACAGTGTCATGCAAGGTCGCTATGTGCGGTTAACAAAACCGAATACTAAATACAACGGTGATAACCTTGCTCTTTGCGAGGTTGGGGTCTATGAGACATAAGATCCGGAATTTTCAACGCATTAAATTGTGTACAATATAGATTTGTTTCCAAATACTTAGAAACTTTGACTTTGATTTATATTTGATGTAATAAAATTCGTATTACATGGTAAGTTTTGAGAATGGGTGCAAACTGAGTTTTGAGACAAGTTTAAGTCTGATTTCACCGTGCTATTTTGTCAAAGCATTTACAGCCGTTACAATTCATTATGACGCAGATGTAAATATTCTTTTTTGTATAAAATTTGGGATTAAAGATGACCAATTATTGTCAAGATATATTCGGCATTGGTATATCTTTATGCTTTTCTCTTTTATATAGAAATGCTTAGACGTTAGATTCTAGTGTTCAATTGAATTATAGAGCTTGCCGAGAGGCCAAACTGAAAAATATGTGATGCACATGTTGCTGTTCCTGGCAGCTTGCAGTGTTCATAGATAGATAAAGAATTAAACAGATTGGTATAGAATAATTTTTTTCCATTCTTAGAAATATTTCTAGAAACACTATTTATGCTTAAATATAAATATGTCTAGAAACACCGGTAAGCTTAGTAATTTAAACTTTGTTGAACATCAATTAATGTGTATTACACGTTTTATATTTTATGCAATACACAAAGCATTCATCTGTGTATCAGCCATCTAGTGAATCCATTTTAATTAACTATGGATGAAAGAAGCCTGTAAGTGGAGTTTAAATTTTGAATGCATCAAAACACGTAAAATTGTATTCTTCATAGGTTTCACTGACCTTTTATCTGGTTCCCTAAATATATTCACCTCCAACAGATGAACAAAGTTTCAATAATTTTCATAGTCTTTTAAGGTATAAAGATAGTTATATATATTGTACAACATAAAATTCTAAATGCATTCATATTTAAAGATATACTATGCTCATATTTGGGTAAAATATTTTTATCGCAGAAATGTATTAAAATCCATGAAATCCTTACTGAATATGTGTAATTTGAATAAAAAATGAATAAACTATGTATTGGAAGCTGTATTCCCTATTACAGGTCAAGTAAAGTTGGTCTTTTCTTTAAAAAAAACTGCCAGTTCTTTTAATGACACTATATATTTATATTGTGACCACCTATAGTGTGTAGAGTTCAAAACATAACTTATCTACTTTAAATGAAGTCGAAACATGTTTATTTTATACATACAAAGAGACTGTGTAGCAATTATCAATACTTTCAAAAAATTAATTTGAGCATAGTATATCTTTAAGAACTACTTGTATAATCGTGCTGTTTTTATATATTTTGAACCATTAAACATCATAAAATACCTTGATCGTTTGCTACTATGTTATAAGTTATGTATTAATTATTATGATATCGCTTTGAATTTTAATATGTGACCATAATTAAGATAAAAAAAACAAGCTGTCTGATAAAAGCGTGCTCAGCCATTCCATTTAATAAGCAGAGGGTTGTCGAAAAAGCCATATAAAGAGAATTTTGATAATGATTGTGTTTTCTTTGGTTTTGACATGGTCATATCTGATAAACATACTCAAATAATTCATCAAAGAACACGAAATTGATAATTTGAAAGCCAATTACACCTGTAGTGACGTACAATGAAAACAATTTATGCGCAATAAAAATAGTCGCATGACCAAGAGTATAATGGTCGGATAAAAGATGAAAGTTCAAAACCTTGTAAAAACGGTCGACAAAACAAACAAAAAGATTTAAAAAATGAATTAAGCTGTGAATTTGATAGCAAGACAGTCGACGCCCTTATGAATTATGAATCTATTGTTAGCAGTTAAAATAAAGTTGAAACAAAGAATCAGTATTGTAACGATTGCATTACCGAGTTGCGGTGCAAAGAATTCAGGAACAAGTTGTTATTTTTCAAAGTCAAAAATGACAAGAATGTGACTGATGACAAAATAAAAGACAATTACTAGTATTATCAAGATTGACATTAAAATTGATGAGGCAGAGGGGATGACATTTAATTTGATAATTCTAAATCTAAGGGAAAACATTACCATACTTTTGAAGGCCCATTATACCTCAGAAATGCTTTAAATTTTATCTCTTAAAAGGTATTTTATTTTTCGTGTCCTGTTATAGTTTCCAGAATTTTACTCATTGGCCAGAAATCTGCAACATCTTTTACTTCTGTTGCTTTTGTTAATTAGTATAGTTATAACGATGTGGTATTTTGTATGGATGTCAAAATGCTACTTTGTTTACATTTTGCTACTTTAATGACAAATAATTTCACATTCAGTGCTGCTTTCCTCAGGTGATCTTACATGCTCTAAAACCATTATTTAAATATTTTAAAACTCATGTTTGTCCTTTGTAAATATAAAAACATTATTCATTTCTGAGGCATAATGTGCCTTAATTAAAAGAATAAAACTCAGGATGTATTGCGGAAATCGTAAGGGAAAGAAGATAAACGTCAGTCAATAATTCTTAAGGACATTCAGGAAAATCGCAGGGTACTGGTTCCGGAAATAAAAACAAATTGCCGGTTGGAAACTGTATAAATGTTTCATTTTCTATGCATCGTTTACTATGAATCCGGATCGCTCATTTTACTTCACGTATTATTAAACTCAACAACAATTAATCAAAACTGTATTATTCTATTACATTATTTATGTAGAACGAACAGTGTGAATATTGATCTCTCGCGCTGTTGGCTGTGACTTTAAATGCGTCCTTATGCTTTTGCAGAATGTTAATGCATTAATGCTGTTCTTGCATTTAAATTGTAAACGTCTGAACATGTTAGTTCACGTGTCGTTGTCTGTTGTTTTTATAAACATTCCCTTTTAAAATGCTTTCCACTAGATAGTGCGATGTCATGTGACAGTTATGTTATGTGAAGGATATCGACAGAGGTCTAGGAAAGACGTTGTCACGAATTTCATTCTTATCCAGGTCAAAAACTTGCCTATAGTGACACTATATATATAACGTACACACTCGGTAATAACTATTAACTTATTTGATAATTTTAATCATTACTTTCAAAGGGACACTTAAATAGGAGCTTAGTGCAAAATATTTGCTCAGAAAAACAGCTCGAAGGATTGCAATTAAAGAAGCGAACGCTTTGTCAAAAGCTCATTTTTTCAATGACACAAAAGTCACAGTACCGCTCAGCTATTTTAAAGTAGAGCGCACTTTCGGGAGACAAACTTTTGTTATAATTTTCTAAATAAAATTGAGGTACAATGTTTACATGCTGCAAAATTTCTAGAGTGTTTGACGTGTTATGAATTATATATTATAATGTGAAATTTAATTAATGTACACTTAAAACATCCAATTTTATCATATATTATGAAAAATCAATACAATTATTTGCAAATTGACAATAGGCTATCAATTATTCTTATTGAAATATTTGATATATATATGTTAGAATATTTGCTACGTTCATTCAATTGAATTATTATTATCTCGTTAAAAATTCTGAATGTAATTTTTTTAATAAAAGGAATATTGTATGAAAAAACATTCATTTAATTTCCATTTTTAATTTCAGATTTCTTTTTTGTTTGTTTTCTTTTCCTGCACGTAGGCATCTTTTCACGTGTTTTACACGAACAGGACTGTCTCACTAGACCACCTTAGCACATGCATCTTGCTTAAACAAGTCTATCCGAAAAAGTAGACCTGTTACAAACAAGAGAGAAAATGTACAGTCGATCGTTATTTACTACAGACAAACATTTTATGTCAATCAAATAAGGCTTATGATAATAGGCCCATGATAATGGCATAATACAAGACAACGAACAGTGTTCATGTCCTCAAACAAACGTACGGATTTCTTAGATAAATATGCATATCACACACAAAGTAATTTTTACAATTATTCATATGCCAAAGTTCTTTCAAACTAGAAACAAGAGATTGTGTTATATGATCAAGTATGAAATGTTTCCCCAGAATATAACATGCATCTCCTGCTTGTAGGAAAAAACATATGTAAATTGTTTACGAATGTAAGTGCATTTCACTTTTCTATATCAATTTTCTCTCAGATAATTTAAAAAAATAGATAAATACAGAATCCCTAAAGAAAGCCCAACATGGCAAAATTGAAAATGTTGCAGGCTCGGTTTGATTGAGCCTGTTCATGGACGGTACTGTCAAGTGCGAGTTACCGTCCACGCCCCCTAGCACCGGCTTGAGCAGAATTCAACATTTAAACGTGAAATAGTAAAATTTTGAATTTAGAAACATCCGCAGATGTGTTCATACGGCGGTTATCATAGAACCTTCAATGTGACACTTCCGTGCCATTCCATGAAAAGCGGCGTATGGTCCCAAAGTAATAAAAGGCGTGTGCCCTAAACGAGAAAACAATTGGCGGAACTAAATAAAATGGAATTTTGAAAGGGGATCAGAGGTTATGAAGCCCTTAAACCCTTAAAGCAAGTGCAAAGACACAGTCCATTTTGAAACAAGGAAACACTAATGTAATAATATCAATATCTAATTGCTAATGACTACATTAGATTCTTTCTACTTAATAGTATTAATATTTATAAGTCTGCATTATAAATAATAATTGAATGATAGACATTCTTATGTTAACAGCATTTTCAATAAATATTCCTAGGTTTCTTACAATTTTTTATTTTCTGAATTGAGTACTTTTATAAATGTATACATATTTTGTTTGTTCCAATACTTCTGTTGTATATATTTGTTTCATAATTCAGTAGTATACATGTACAGTACGTGGCATTCTCGTGTAAAAAAAAATGATATTCATGCTCAAGAGCATATTGACTATGTTCTATCGTCTATCTGCAGTTATTATATATTCTGCATTTAGAACGAAATTTAATATGTTACATTGTGCTCAAAAATGCGGATAAAATAGAGTAAAACAGAATCCCTAAAGAAACAGGATATGAATATCAAAACCTTTTATGCAGTAAAACACCTGAACTTTTCTAAATTACACGAAACATAAGTAAGATTTGAAAAGAAAATTATTTTTGAATTTCACATGAAGTTATTAGAAAAATGAAATTAATACTTGGTCACATTTCTGTTTACAATTATGAAAAAGCAAATGCGCTTAAAGCACCTTACTAAAGTGATATAACTATATGCAAACAAAATAGAACGGATACTTTTATTACTCGTGTTTTACTGGTCTATTTGAATTGTGAATGTTTTGTAAAGAAAAAGATAAACATTATTTGTATAATACAAGAGATAAAGCAATGACCGCGTTTAATTAATAATATGTGTCATATGTTGCGGTTCAGATCGGAATATAAGTCCCAAGGGGACCCGTCCACCGGCGGTTGTACCCGAGCGACGGATAATCCGATCCGAACCGCAAACATGTCAGATATTTTCTCTCGCATATTCTTCCATATTCCATTATATTTTAAACTCTTTACCTTAATAAAACAATTTTCCATGGAATTTATGTCATTACCACCTTAAATATTTTCTTACAACAGCGTATGAAATTACAACTTTATTCATAACGGTAAAATTACGTCATCCCATGCGTGCCATTGTACAGCACGCGACTCATCTGGCACCCCATGCCAGACGAAATTTCCGGCATGGGTAAAACTAGCGGAAACGCCAGTCTGATACGCAAGAATAGAACAAAATATAGCGAAACAATTTCAACCGAGATATTTTATCTTCTTTAAATGTAAAAACATTATACGTTCATATAAATAAATTTACATCAGCAACAAGTTCCTAAAACTATTAAGTTCTATATCTAAAGAAAATATAATAACTATGTTTTGGGAGACTTGTCGCTCTCTCTTGTTGATATGAGGGTGGGTCAATATGTAATACAATATGATCAATGTGTCAACAGATTTAACTTTTTCAATCCCTCGAAATAATCTCCATCAACAGTAATACAAATATCCAGACGTTCAATCCAATTTAAATGCTTCAAAGAAGTAGCCCTCCTTAGGTAAACCTTTCAACCTTTCAATAACTGAAAAATGGCAGATACTCTTTCAGCGCTGGACCTGCACTCTAGGAAAAATGAAACAAGTCACAGGGTGTAAAATCTGGAGAATACTCGCAATATTAGAAAACACGGCGACTGTCATATCTTCTGGTCTGATGTTAGCGAACGGGAAGTCTATCAATCTGGCAGTTATTCGCCTTACTTCCAAGTCGTTCTTCAGAATCCTATAAGTTAACCCTTTTGATATTCCTTCAATAAGGCTATCTAGGTAAGTAAGTCTGGCATATTTGTCACTTATAAATTTGACTTACTGACTCGAGTCC